CTAGAATTATCTACAAACTCCCAGTACACCTATTCTAGTTCCTTTTGACATTATACCTCTTTCTTCCATAGCATTTACTTGGCATTATAGAATCAAAATTAAATCCATAGACAATTTTGTTCTTGAGCTATATTCCACTTTAGATTTTTTTCCAGTGCTTCTTAAATCTGTTTTCCCAAAGTCCTTAGCATATAGATGACCATACCCAGCCTTTCCTTTCCTGATAATCACTGCCTTTAAGTGTTCAAAGTAGTTTTTACTCACTGAAAGTAGCTCTTAGAGTCCAAACTGGGACTCAAGTTTTCTTGTTTTTGAGACCAGTGACTCCTAAGGTGTTGTTATGTGTGAGAGCTTTGGTTTGGGGTCTTGGAGAAGTGGGGGTTTTATGTGAAGAGATCAGAGAAATAAAACAAGATGGTAGAGGGATAACTGACACCCACTCCAGCCCCCACCAAACAAGATTGAATCCAATGGGCTAGGCAATCCTATGAGAAACAGTGTCTAACAAAGTCTGTGTAAGACTCTTGAGTGGAGACATCCAAAAGTCCAGGTGATAAACAGAAGCTCAGAGTGGGGAGGGGACAGTTCCTTCATTTCATTATGGTGCACTGAGGTCCTCTGAGGGCTTGGGGTAACAGAGGGAGGATATCCGTGCCTAGCAGAGCTATCCCCATGGAGAGATCTGCAGCTAAGAAAATCCTGGAGAAGGAGCAAGAGTAGAAAGATATGAGCAGGTAATTTCATTTTGGGTTCATGGTTTCCCAGGGAAGTACTTATCTCAATAAAATAGTTATGCTCTGCCTCTTGTTCTAGCAGACTGGATTCTATGAATTAGGGTTTAACCTCATCTTGGATTCCAGTCATGGGTCTCTCTTCCTCACTTGGTAATGCCCATGAGATCACATTTACCCTGCTATTCTATGAAAACACATTTCTACCCATGTTCTAAGAATTGTTGTGTAGGTACACCACCATGTTAATCATTGTGTCCCACTGCTGTACCAACGTTTCAGCCATGAAATAGCATGTATCTTTTCTACCAATAGTCAACATTATACTCCTTATAGTAATTCGTTTTTGGTTGTTTCTATGTTTTCTTTTTTGTAGCCAGTTTTAATTCCTTTTGATAAGTCTAGTTAGTCCTTGGAAAATAATTTCTTTGATTAAAATTGACAATATACATGGTTTCATAATTCTTAAATGTTGAGTTATTGACCAAAAACTCCTACCTCATTCCTTGACACTAACTACAGAGCTAGTTAATTATCTCTTTTGTTTTTTCTTTAAAAGCTCCAAACTTTAGTGGCAATAGGCAAACACTGACTGCATATCTAAGTGTTTCAGCCTCCCACCTGACATCACAGAAACAAGAGGTATCTCTTAGATTTTCACTGATGGTATGTATCTCCATGTGTTCAGATAGTGTTCAATATCTCTCAGCTTTGTACTTGCCCTTCTATACCCTTCTCTTTACCAAAGTAGTGGGAAGACTGCAAAATACATTTTGCGGAATCCCTCACCAACTGGCATCCAATGGGAGACAGAAGATGGAAAGTGGGGTGAGGGGGAGGAAATGTCGCTTTCACGGTTTCTGCTTGCGTCTGTGGGAGTGGCAGCATCCACAACCATGTCAGGGACATCAGCAGCAGGGGCAGTGATGGTGGTGACAGCAACTGTAACATTAAGGACAGAACATAGAAGCGAGGGCACTGGCTGAGCGTCAGGTCTTGAAGGTGCTACTCGGGCCATGTTCCTACAGAAGCAGCCCCAAAGGCACAGTGTTTATGGACTCTGGGTAAATCATTTTCCCTGTTGTCCTCCAGCTCTAGGTCTGAGAGTGCTTGAGTGTAATTGCCAATCTTTGCGCAAGTTGACCTTTCTTGTTTTGCTCCTCTAGCTCACTCCGATACTTTTGTAACAGATTCCTTACATCAAATTCCCTCTTTGTCAAACACCTAGATCTGTGTCTGTTTTCCTGGTTATGCAGGGACTGATGCACACTGCTATGAGTCAGCCCGTGTGTGTAACAGTCAGCAGATGTGGTGTGCCCTAGAAGCCATTTCATCATATGCTGGGAAAACATTCAAGGAAGACTCAATTGACAATTGACGATGTCAGCTCTGCATGCAACTGTTCTTCATCTCTCAGTAGAGAATCGCCAAACTCTCAGATCCCGTGAGAGGTTTGTGGTGTTCACAGACTTTTATAGACTCTTATTTCTGCCATGTTTAGTCCCCAGAAGGTCTGTATTTAAATTATTGAAGAAAATACAAACTTCCTGTGTCTGGTAAGTCCCTTCCCTTTCTTCCTTAAGCTACACAATTCATCACTCTTATGTCCCTGGTTTTTTCTTCCCCTTACATGCCTAAGAATTTTGAATTTGTAGTTTTCTTTTGGTACTTTTCTTCCATTTTCTCTAGGAAGTCTTCATTTTTACAGATAATCTGACATTCAGAAGGAGGATTCTCAAGGAAAAAAGGAAGTCTGTGGTAATAATGCTAGCCCAGAGGAAGGGATAAGATTGCTTTCATGAGTCAGGTTAAAATGTAAGCCACACGCTGATGACATCAGTGTGGGAAAGAACCTTGTGCCACAGGTTCATTATCATCATACACAGCCTCTAGCCAAGGTCAAAAATGAGAGTATCTTACTCCTCCAAAAATTAAGAAAGGACTATTATCTTGAGCAATGGGACAATTCCATAGGTTACCACAGTACCTGTACCTCTATATTTAGAAACTCTTCCTTCATCATTCTGAGCAATGCGGGTGGGGGGTACTGACTCCAAATGTGGGAAATACTCATGTAATGACCCATTGCCCTGGTGGACTTCTTGACCTTTAATATTCAGCCTCTCTGTCTCCATGCACTTTTTTTTCTCATGTCTGCACATAATGCAGATATGGTAGATTTAGAAGTTGGCACTTGATGAGACACAAAATTTGAAAGAAAAAAGATAAACTATGCAGTTGAATGTTGCCCAGAAGCAGGGAAAGGCATGCGGCCAAATTCCCCCAGCTCCTTGTGTCATCACGTGATGTTGCTTGGATATCAGCTTATCAACAGACTGAATTTCTACTGCCACCTTCACATGAAGAAAGAGACCCTGCAAGGAAACTACACTGAATATGAGTATGAGCTTCTAAAAAGGGGGAGATCATAATACAGGGTAAGTCTTTTAAGCAAATTTGTCCTTTTTCGTTCGGGCATAAGATATTTGGTAGGTTTGTCCTCCTTGAATTCTCCAAGCATTTTAATCAAACTTTACCAGGTACAGTCCACTTGAATAGCTACGATGGATTTCCTCAGCAATAGCCCGAGAAAAGCGCACATGAATTGTTGCCACAAGAAAGATCGTCAGTCATTTCCTTATGCTATTTGAGGAAAGAAGAAATCTTTCTAGCTTTGAAGAATATTTATGCTCTGCTCTACAGACCTGGAGAACGGGAGGAGGGGCACTGAGGTGGTCTGAGTACAGGATACAATGTTGGCTTCTATCACAGAGAATATTAAAGGAGTAGATCTCAGTTGGTACGGTTTCTGAAGTGCACGATGAGGGAAAGCAGTATTAAATAAAATATTTAGGGTTTAATTTATAAGGTTTATCGTGGAAACAGGACACACAGAGATGCTGACTGATGTTTTCCTAATAAATTTCTCTTCTGGAAGATCTGAGCCTTCGCTTTGTGAACTCAGAAGCAGAGATTCCTCACATGTTAAAATCCTTCTTCAGCGCGTACATGTGGGTGCTTTTGCGTGTGCACGTACGTGAGAGCGTATAATATGGGGAGAGAAGAGAAAAAATGATGAGAGCTTTCCATAGCCATGGTCTCAGCTAATCAAACAACCCAACAGGGCAGGTTTGGCAAGGACAGAGGTGTGAGCAGAGGGGAAAATGCTTGGGATTCTCAGTCTATGCCTTGGCAACCCTATTCTAATATATCCACTACCCCGGATTAATTTTTTTTACAATCATAGACATCTCAGATTCCAAACCCTAAAATATATGGTAAAGAAAAAAGACTTACTCGTAGCAGGTGTGGCTCCTTCGTTTTGTCAGGCAAGTGGCAAGAAATACAGCTACGTTTAACAGTTTCTTTTATAGTACACTGCTGTAAAATTGCAAATCAAAATGTGCAAGAAATGGAGACTAATGTAAAGGAATACTATACTTTCACTAAAAATCATATTTTTTAAGGGATATTCCATGAGCTGGGAAAGTGCACAACATATAGAGTATGGTCTCTCTTTTCTTTCTTTTTTTTTTTTTAAAGATTTTTATTTCTTTATTTGAGAGAGAGAATGAGATCAAGAGAAAGCACGAGAGGGGGGAGTCAGAGGGAGAAGCAGACTCCCTGCCGAGCAGGGAGCCCGATGCGGGACTCGATCCTGGGACTCCAGGATCATGACCTGAGCCGAAGGCAGTTGCTTAACCAACTGAGCCACCCAGGCTCCCTGGTCTCTCTTTTCTAAAATCAAAATGTACCCAGGGGAAAAAAAAGAGTAAAAGGAAATCAATCAAATGCCACCAATAGTTATGGACAGTTAGATTATAGACAATCATATTTTCTTCTTCAATTTTTAGAGTTTTTCCCAAATTTTCCAAAATGACATATATTACTTTTACAATCAAATAAGGTAATAACTATTACTTAAAATGATCAAGAAATAACTTGTGACGTGATGTGGTTCTCCAGTCCACCTACTGCAAACACAAGATGAAGCAGAAAGACAAAGAGCTCTGAATGATTCTTTCCGCAACCGGAGGGGGAGGGGCGGGGAGAATAGGGCAAAGTACAGAACTGAGCGGTCTGCTGAGATCCAATTACTTAGAAACATGTGAGAAAACGTTTTATCCCTTGACATAAATAACATTTATTTACTTGTTTGTTTATTTACTTGCTTGCCTGCTTATTTACTTAGGTCCATTCCCAAAACAGGGTGAACAAAATGAAATTTCATGCTATGCTTTGTTGTTCCTTGGAGATATAGGATAAAGAATGGGAGAAAAACAGAAAAGACAACAAAAGCTTTGGAATGTTCCACGGATTCCTTGCATTCGGGTCCCTTGCTCTGCCTACACCCACAACACTCCCTTAATGAAGGTATAGTGTATCATTCACCAACGGATGGAACTTCCTGTCTCTCCCTCAAGGCTTGAGGGCTTTTTCTCCCGTCTTTGTTTATCCAGCTTTAGGTAACATCGGGCCCAACATAGGCACTCAGTGCATGTTAATGGTGTGCATGGTGAATGAATGAGCCATTGCATGGTCTGGTCCTACACCCATCCCATTTCAGGAGCTCTGTAGATAGTCACATCCTCATTGCGGAAGCACTCCCAGTAATGGGCAGCTCACAGCTGACCACGCTGTGGCTTCCTGCTAGAGAGCTATGGTAGCTCCTTTCAATCACAGTTATTTAAAGCCATTCTCATTAATACTTTTTTTTAAATTTTATTTTATTATGTTATGTTAGTCACCATACAAAACATAACCAGTATTTGATGCAGTGATCCACGATTCATTGTTTTCGTAAAACACCCAGTCATTAATACTTTTTGCAAAAATTGCAGTTCTCTTCTATCCCCTCAAGAAGGATAAACAACAGGGTAAGAATATCAGGACTATTATTTAGGAAGTTTAGACCTCTGCTAAGGAAAAGACATAGACTTTTTTTTTCCCCCGTGTAAAATAAAACCATAACTTTTAAGATTTTATCTTATATAATGGAAATTCTCATTGCCCTTTGGAGACTTGCTCTCGAAACTGGCTGCTATTTTCATATTATATTGTTTCTCCATCATTGGAAAAGGCTTAATTAGGAATCAATTATCTTCTTCAAAGATATTCTTTTTTAAAACATCTAATTCAGAAACTGTAAAGTTCAAATGATGCCTCAAATTGTGAAGTACTTGGCTTTGCTACTTTCACTCTGGATATATTTTTGATATCAAGTTGAAGGTCTCTAGACACCAAAAAAAAAAAAATCTGACTCAGAGGTTTCAACTCCACACAAAATTTCTAACAGATAAAAGCCATTTTACTGTTATATATAATTAACTTAAATTTAGTTTCCATTACAATGGTTATCAACTACTTTTGAAACTTCAATCACTGTTTTGAATTTTGTGGCCTAGGGTGAACTTATTTCACCTTGGTTTTTCTAGAATGTTGAGGCCAGTATCATGGTAAGCACTGACAACAGATTAGGTAGAGAACAGTAACTGTAGTCCAGGTCTTCTTGTTCCTCCTTTGCACTACATGGCAGCCTTCTAAATGCTCTCCCTACCAATGGCCTGTCTTCCCATAAGCTCATTCTCCACAGCGGGGCCAAAGTGATCTTTCAAGTATGACATTTCGGGTTGGATCATTCTTTGTTGTGAGGGACTGGGAGGCTGTCTCGCGCACTGTGGGATGTTCAGCAGCGCTCCTGGCCTCTATCTGCCGACAGCCAGTAGCATCCATCCTCCATTTCACCATTTATGACAAGCAAAAATGTCTTCCCACATTGCCAAATGTCCTTAGTGGTCAAAATCACTCCCGTTGAGAACCACTTTACTTAAATAAAGACCTTCAATGGCTCCTCATATTAAAGGTAATCTTTCAACTCTTCTTTTAATTCTTATTTTTTAAATTTGAATGTGAACACTGTCTATAAGGCTTCCATGATCTCCGCCTGCCTAACTCTACAGCCTTCCCCAGCTCAGACTCTATATTCTGCTTGAAGTGAAAAAAAAAAAAAAAAAAAAGTCTGGTTCTTACTATATCCAGACATTTTGTGTCCCACAGGAAAATTTATACCACTTTCTCCCACTAATTAGCTTTTCTTTTTCTTCTAGCACAGTGGTTCTCAAATTTTGGTTTCCTTGAAACAGAATCACCTAGAGAGCTTGTTAAAACCCAGAGTGCCAGGCCCCACTCCCCGGAGTTTAGGATTCTGTAGATCTAGGATGGGGCCTGAGAATTCGCATTTCTAACACATTCCCAGGTGATGTTGATGCCCTTTGAGAACCAGTATTCTAGTTCCTTGGGAAATTCCTCCTCACTCTAAGACTCAGATGTTTTGGTCACCTCATTGAAAAAGCCTTCCTTGACTGCTGCACAGACTTTGTTTTCTTCTCTGTTTTTGTAGCATCTTTAAAGTAATAATGTTGAGCCTTTATCACATTACCCACCTACTGATCTAGCTATCTCCCCTGCTTACTGACAACTCTTGGTGGAAAGTTCTCTTGTCCCCATTCGCTGGCCTGGCCTACGTCAGGCCCTGTGTAGATTCTCACAGCCTACCTTCTTCAACAAGGATCATAATACAGGAATAAAATTATAAAAGATTATAAAGTGTTGGAAATCCTTAGATCCCTCTCAGCCCAATACCTTGACCTACTTACCTAGAATCTTTTATTTACCCAGTTTTACTATCACACAGGCCAATGGAAGTTGTTTAAGTAAACTAGGGGAAGACACGACCCAATTGTTGTTTTCCAATTGTGAAATGTATATATAAAAAATTGTTATACATATATATGTATATGTATCCATATATATCTTATTTCCAAAGAAGTCAGCTTTGAATACATCACACTCTTAGTCCTATAGAACTCCACCAACACATCAAAATCACCTGCTCTGCTTTGACAGGACCTAACCCAAGGGCAGCAACGCTACTTTTATAGCATCATGAGGATTTACAATTCCAGACCCCAGTGGGAGGCCCTGCAGAACCGCCATATTCACAGCCTTCAGCACCAGCAGCTGCTTGGTGAGTTTTAACTACCTGACCTAAACCAGGCACCCTTGGGAGGGACTTGTGTGCTGGAGCCGGAAGTCAATTTTCCAGATAAATAATTCAAGTAGAATGGCCTCTGCCAGCGTGCTATAATATAACACAATTGGCAGGCCATGTTTAAAAATGATTATCCCTGACAATAGAAAGCAAGGTTTTATGGGTAAATTAAGAGGGTTTCAAGAAATCAGAGTACGGATTGCTATGAAATGTCAACAACTGTCTGAGATTTATAGGAACTCGATCTAGTAGAAATGGCGATGGGCTTAGGCAGATGGTCTAGGCTCAAACCACTGCTCAGCCCCTTGCTGGATATGCAAATTCAGAGGCTCAGTTTACTCACCACAATAACAGTTACACTTATTAAGCATTTACCATGTTCCAGACATTGTGCTAGGAGATCTACACACAACATCTCATTTTCTCCCCACTTTACAGCTGTGGGAAACTGCAGCTCAGACAGATTATATAACCTGATCAAGACATACACCTAGCAAATGTCATGGCCTTGCTGGCAAAGAGCATACATTTTCACCCCCATGCTCTGACATCTCTCTTGTCGAAACCTCATGGGATCTTATGAAGCACAAATGAAATAACGGTTGCAAAAGACCTTCACAGACTTTTAAGTACAACCTTTGGAGGTGTGATTGTTAAGTCCCTTTTCTTCTAGGAAACGTTTTCAGTCTCCAGCTGGCCTCTATTACACTCTTCTCCTGACTCTGGCAGAGCTTTCTTTTTTAAGCAGCTCACTTGACATTAGCACATTTACCTTATATTGCTGTTCCTGCATTCGCACAAAAGGAAGACATGGTTTTTGCCAATGACTAACAAGAACAGTAACAATAGTTATCTGTTATTAGGCTTCCCTTTGTGCCTAGCACAGTTCTAGGCACTTTGCATATATTGTCTTATTTGAAATACAGACACCTCTAGATGGTAGGTGCCTTTACAACTCACATTTTACAGAAGAGAAAATTGAGGTGTGGATAAGAAATCATTTGACCAGGGTCATGCAACTAGTAAATGTCAGAGCCAGGATGCAGCCTGCTCCCCATGATTGCCTGCATTCCTGCAGAATCATCACTTACTAGCTTTGTTTGTAGAGCAAAACAGCATAGAGGCCAGTGAAACCAGAGCAGGGATATTCAGTACTTAGTGCACATAAAATCTACCTGCATTATGTTAACAGCATGCAGATTTCCAGGCCTAGCTGAGTTTCTTTTTTTT